AAAATTTATATGGAAATGCAGAGAACCTGGAATAGGCAAAATTATACCGATTAAATTAACAAAAAGGTTAGAGGGCTATGCCACCTAATTCCAAAACTTACTGTAAAGCAAATGTAACCAAGATATTGTGGTATTTGTGAAAGAAGATAATACACTGATCAATAGAACAGGATATGGGGTCCAGAAGGACGCCCTTACCTGCCACTTTGCTATTTATTGTCTACTGTCTATTTCTCCTTTTTCCTTCTATTGTCTTTATTGCCTTTGTGTTTAACAAATGCTTTACAATGTCATTTAAAAATTTCTCCATTTTTCGGCTGTGTTTTTTAGTTACGTTTGGTGTGGTTGCTTCAAACAAGTCTAATTCTAGTTAATGCTAACTGAATTCTAGCTAAATCTGGCCCCCCTGTTCCACTGTGGCTCCATCTCTTCACTCCTCCTTTGTCCTTATTATCCTATGTATTACATCTACTGATAATTGAACAATGCAATGTTATAACTGTAGCTTCAATTTTATGTTTTGTAAAGTAATGAGAAGATAAAAAAATAGTCTCTTGTTCTCATCCCCACATTCACCATTCCTGATGCTCTTCATTCCCTCTAGCAGATGGGAGTGAGTGTGTGGTGTCAGCCTAAATGCCTTCCTTTACATTTCCTGTAGGGCAGGCCTGTTAGCAATGGATTCTGTTTCTGTTACTCTGTGAATGTTTATTTAGTCTTCATTTTAAAATGTTAATTTCACTGGATACAAAATCCCTGGTCGACATTTTAAAAATGCATTTTGAACATGACCATATCTGGGAGGATTGGAGCAGAAAATACAAACCTATGAACAAAACAGAAATCTATGAATCTGGCTAGGTGCAGTGGTGGCTCACGCACGTAATCCTAGCATTTTGGGAGGCTGAGGCAGGTTGATTGCATAAGCCCAGGAGTTCAAGACCAGTCTGGACAACATGGCAAAACTCCATCTCTACTAAAAATACACACACACACACACACACACACACACACACAATTAGCCAGTTGTGGTGGCACTTACCTATAGGCCCAGCTACTTGGGAGGCTGAGGCACAAGAAAAGCCTGAGCCCAGAAGGCAGAGGTTGCAGTGAACTGAGATTGCACCACTGCACTCCAGCTCAGCCTGGGTGACAGAGGGAGACTCTATCTCAAAAAAAAAAAGAAAGAAAAAGAAAAAAAAGAAATCCATGAATCCATATTGTTATAAATTAGTGAATATATAGATACCTGAATTGGGTAAAAGAAAAAGCTCTCCTTTATAGTAGAGTGACAATTAATACATATAGAAGGAACTGTGGAAATGGAAAAATTGATGAGGCAGTCATCAGAGTGGTGGCTGATTGTGGAGGGGTGAGGACTGATGAGGAAAAAGGTATCAGTGTCATTTGGACTGGCTCTCCATAAGACACTCATCCATTAGGGGGAACATAGTGACTACAGTGGGGAAGGCTGATAGGTTCCTGTGTGGTCAGGTGACCAAGGTGAACGTCCCCCTGGAGGAATCAGCAGGCCAAGGTGAATGTCCCCCTGGAGGAATCAGCGGGCCAAGGTGAACGTCCCCCTGGAGGAATCGGGGGGCCAAGGTGAA